CATGTGTGATATTGTACAACAAGTTAGGCTCAAAACAACAAATCGCATCAGGTTGCATAGCATGATGATGTCTATTTTTGTTATTGGAGATTGTGTCTTTCATATATTTTTACTGTTGTTATTGTACAGTATGCAGTTGATATAAATTTTGTGTTTGACCTTCAAGCCAATAATAATTAATTTTTGTTATTGAAGACGTTTTTTTTGCTTTATGATGGTCCACTAGAATTATGGGAAATTATGTTTATTATTTTGTGTTTTTTACACTGTTTAGAAAATGTTTTACTATGAATCAAATTAAACAATATTGTTTCCATTTTTTTATTTTTTTTTTTTTCTATAATGCCCAGGTAGTTTGTTCTTATTACATTCTTTTACTTGGTAAATATTGTGCACACTTACTTATCTGCTTAGGCATCGCTAGCCCTTCTTTTCTCAGTTTTAATTGCCATTGCCATTGTAGGAGCCATTTGGCGCACCGGTTGTGGTTCTGCTTCTTAACCTTTAGGTCAGAGGTTCAATCCCTCACTGAATTTTGCTTGTGTCCTTGACCAGGGACTTTATCTACAGTTGTCTCTCTCCACCCAGGAGTACAAGTGGGTACCTGATAGGTTCAAAGAAAAAATGCGCTGATTACAGCTTCAACATTAAGGAATTCTCCCCAGGGAGCTGAGTATGTGTTCCATATGCTGATTGTCTAATAAACGGGGATAATAATTTGAAGTGCATAGAGGCCTTTGTTGGCTTGAAGCGCTATATATAACTAACATATTATTATATTTTGTAGTGTAATACTAACTAAAAATAACATGAACAAAAACATTGTAATAATAACAATAACAAAACAATATTAAAATTATTACAATAGTAGGCATTTCTTTGTGACTTTGGTGACCTATTGTGCATAATTTGACCTAAAATTGTTAATGAGTAAATTTAACTGTTTGTAATATTTATATATGTGATTTTGTGTTTCTGCTAATGTTGAAATTTTATAAAGCTAAAAAAAAAAAAATTTTTTTACTACAAATTGTTATTTATTGGTAACTTTACTTTTTTTTACTTTTTTTGTATAAAAACAAAACAAAAGAGTAAACAGGGTATATTTGAAGCCTTTAGCTTAATAATTGATTGATAGCGATCAATTTGTCTACCACATTGGGCCTGTGAAATATAGCAGTCTTTATTTACTGGTTGACATACGATTGTTAACAGGTGCAAATTGGGCCACTGTTTGTGAGACTTTAATAACCATAATTGAATTTTGATTTCTCCTTGGCGTCTTTAGTGTATTGTTAACACACATTGGATGATAATGCAAAGAGTGGTGTTGACAAGTGGTTGCTGACATTTTTGGTCGATGTCGGGGCGTCACATTTTACCTTTGATTCAACCATGATTCAACATTGTATAATCTTTTATTATGTGCGCTGATTGTAGTTACACAGATGCCCGTTTTCTTGCCATACCTCAAGATAATATCTTTAATTGAATCCAATGTTCTTACTGTCTGGAGAACAATTAGTAAATTTATTTATTTACCGGTATTTAGTCTTTCTTTTTGTAGGCACTTTTAGTACTATTGCACTGATTTTCAAGTGGTACAGTTTGAACATAACTACAATATATACAATCAAAGAATTAACAATAATTTCAAGAATATATATAGGGCCTTGGTCATTTGGTCCTCATGTTTAAGTAATAAATGCATTAGCAGGCAACCCCATCAGGTAACAATAATTTAAATATATATATATATAAATATGTATAATATAAATCGTGAAAGGTACATATACAGTGTTTAAATAAGGACATGAGGAACATCGTAGGCTACCCTGTAGCTTTTCAACGAATAGTCCTATAAAAGTCATTGTGTAATAAAATGCCTTCGACGGGATTCGAACCTGCGACCTCTCGCTGACAAGGCGAGCGTCATAACCACTAGTCCACAAAGGCTTCATTGTTTGTTGAACAGGTCCAAATAACCGTCAGGAACATTGTATTACACAATGCTACTCCTCAAGAGGGCGTTCGGCCAGATAAATCTGGCAATACGGCTAGAAATACTGTTGTATATTATATATGATATTGAAGGAAGTTAGCCGTTAACACTGTCGAATAAATATAATATAAGTCGTCAAAGGTATATTACATGTGTTTCTTGAATTGTTTCAAGCAGGCTTGAAACAACTTAAAAAGTATACCTTTATTGAGTTTTTCAAAAGAAAAAAGAACATTAAATTTCTGTATTATTTAAGACATATTGATTATTTCAACTCCATTCAAGCTGTATACTGTACTATGTTTTGCTGTGTAATGGCCTGTTTACACTATGACAATAACGATCAACGATAAAAAGCCAAAAAAGCAATTTTAGAGAGAAGTTTTCACACTAGCACGATTTGATAATGATTGATCATATATAAACAATAAACAAATACTTTCACAAATCAGATAACGTCATAATTATGGGAAAACTATAAAATCATATTAATAAAATCATAATTATGATGTCATTTTATTTGATTTGGGAAAATATTTTTTTTTCGCATACACAATAAATTGTTATCAGATCGTGCTAGTGTGAAAACTTCTCATTTCTTTAATTTTACCATATGAACAATTGTTTTTAGCTTTTTATCGTTGATCGTTAGCATCATAGTGTCAGTGGTGGTGCCAGGACCTGCACGACGGAGGGGCTAAAGGCCCCGAAAGGGGGCTAGTGGAACGAATCGAGTCTCACTTGGCTGGGGGCTGCCCAGGGCCCCCGGTGGGGAAGCCCCCTGGAAGCCACAGGTATTTGATGAATTATGGCGATTTTTTATTACTTATTTGATAGGCATCGAGTTACTATAATACAGTATGACTTCATGTAGGCTATGCTTTCTAATGTTCAGCTTTCTAATCAGCTTCCAAAACCAAAACATTTTGAATAAAGCAAGAAACAAAGAGTATGCAATGTAACCATCTAATTTATTTTCAAATCCTCATTCTTGAAAGTGAAATTCTATATTTTGGAAATTTTACATTAAATCTGTCAACCACGCTGTCATGTTTGAGGTTGCTTCACCTATCACAGTGTATTCCAACCATCATGAGGCTATCTAAATGAGCATTTGTCATAACAGAATGCTAAGCTTCCCCGATGGGGGCTATAGCCCCCCAGCCCCCCTCTGGCGCCACCACTGCATAGTGTAAACAGGCCGTAAAGAATCTCTTTCTCCAAGCAAGCAAACAGCATCAATACCAATATCACTTGTTTTATAGCTGAACCTAATTGGTTAATTTGTTAGAAAACCTTGAATTGTTTAGTCCTCTTTCTAGTCACCACTTTTAATGTTGGGGTCTCATTATCAACACATTAGCAAGGAACAATAGATGCACAAGGCTGAATTCTCACTGCAGTAAAATGCGATCATTATTAATTGCTTTTTATAGCTTTTAAACCAGCTGTATGCACATGTTCGCATTGTTACTAAATGTGAATGTATTTATATTAGGCTAGCAACATTTAGGAATATGTATACATACATAGGAATTTTTTTTTAAAATTAAATCTCCGTATTTTGTTAATTTAAACATGAACGATGGCGATAATGATTACTAACAATGGTTATAATTATAATATAATAATAATTGTAATTTTATAATGCTAATAATGATAGAAAAGAAAACCTTATAGCACCAGTATCCATAAACTAAATGATTATGGCCTTTTTCAGAAAGTAAAGGTAGGAGAATGACCCATAAACTTGCAGCATCATTGTTCTGAATTTCTTATGGGCGTGGTTTGTGGCTACCTAGCTGCCATAAAGAGGTTCTTACTGTATACAGTGGCTACATGTTCACATCATCTTAAGGCCATCCCCCATCGGTCTGGTCAAGGGCCCCCCCCCCACCATCGGCCAAAGCTCGTCAGGCAGTCGGACTGAAAAAAAAAAGGGCCTAGTTTTCCCATCCCAGCCATTTCCGGCCATCTAGAAGACCCAATATTTTTTTTTTAAATATTGTTTTGGGAGGAGGGGATACCCCTCCCATACCCACCTCTGGCCCCGGGCTTCGGTCCTCAGATAACGCTGCGTGCCATAGTTACACCCATAAATACTTAGCTCCCCCCAGTCGGACACCTTAGCCCCCCATAAATTATATCCTAGAGCCGCCACTGATTCGGGGTAACCCCCTATTCTTCCAAAAGATGCAATGGGTTCTTTAAATTGCACACGAGCCCTATGAGTACACTGGACCTACATTTTGAGTCCTAATCCGAGAAGACTTGGTTCTAAAAACCGAAACCCTGGGCGAGGATTGACTTCAACCAGCGCTGATGTTAAGGCTGTAGTGAGGCTGCCTCAGCCTTACCACCTGGCCGCTGGGCTCGCCAGAAGATTCATTTAAAATCATAAAATTTAGTCGTTCAAATGCAGCAAACAGATGTTTTTTTAAGTTGGTTCTTTAAATTGGTGTGAGAGCTGCAAACCAAAACATGCTGGCAACAAGTGCTATAATTGTGGTTGCTGTTTTGCTAAAAGATACCATTTATGAAAACGTAGGCCACTACATCTAGGTGTATAAAAAGCCCTCAAGATTCGTTTGATAACATCGGGAGATGAGCCTTTACTTACACTTATAGTCCAGCGGTGAGCATAAACATTTGTATAGAGGGCCGAGGTATATTTTTGAATGAACACAATGGACGGCATGCAAAATCAATTCATGTAATTATTGTATATGTTATGTAATATTTTTTAGTTGTTAAATAATGTTAGAAATAATGAACTATTCTATTTTCACTAAGCAGTGTAACTCTTTATTATTGATTTCTTACTTCTTTTTGCATTTTTGTAATTTTACTTTTGTTGTTCTTTATTGTCGCACATGGATCCCTTTGGAAATAATAATAATAGCTATTGAAAGTTAATAATTAAATAAATTTTTGTAATTTTGTGTTTATTATGATAATTCATTCGCAGTTTTTATATATGTCAATTCTTTTTTCACAGATTTTACATGCTGTTGGGAAAATACCAGCTAATGCTATATGGATAGATGAACCAGAGTCAAAGGTAAGAAATTTTTAATTTTTAATTACTATTTGATATTTATTTTCTTTTCATTATTTATGATTGTGGGGTGTAGAGTTGTTTGTACTAATGGTTATGTAATGATTAGGTAATACATAAAATAGTAGCAAACACAGTTTAATGATACAGTTGAACTTGCCTAAGTTGAATCCAAAATTTCATTGAAGAATTCTTTGACTTTGATCAAATTTGAGTTACAGATCGTTAATTAATGGAAAACACAATAATTTGGCAAGTAAAACAGGGGTGGATCAACATTTTTTGCAAAAAAAACCCCCTAAAAATACATGGGGTTCGGGTCCAATGGGAAGACCACATTTTAACACTCAAAAGTATTCTTGCTACAAGTAGCGCAGAAAATAAACCTACTTATTTAGCATTCCTGGATTTCCGTAAAGCATTTGATACTGTTTGGCGAAATGCCCTCTTATCAATTGTCTGGAATACTGGTATCCGTGGTAAAGTTTGGAATATTTTAGATAATTATACAAAAATGTTGAATGTAATGTTAAATTTGGTGATATTGTTACAGATTTTTTCAATAATGAGGAAGGTGTTAAGCAGGGGTGTGTTTTTTCACCCATTTTATTCTGTACATTAATGAACTCTCTAAAATGTTAAGTAACTAGGTTGTTATACACTAGGAACAAAAATGCCTTGCTTGTTTTGGGCTGATGATGTGGTTTTGTTAGGCAATGATGCATTTGATCTGGAAAACATGCTGAAAATTGCAGGTCAATTTTCAAAAAAATGGAAACTTCAATTTAACTTTGATAAATCAAATGTGGTTGGAAAACGTACTAACAAAGTTAAACAATGGCCACTAGGTAATAAACACATCAAAGAAGTAGATAATTATAAATACTTAGGCATTACCATTTCTAAAACTCAATCTGAATGTTGTCATATAAATTAACTAGTTAGGAAAGGTAATAAGCTAATTGGCTATATCAAATCCATTATAAACGGTCAAGACAATTTCAATAGAGTCTAATATGGTAACATTTTGTGGAAAACGATCGCGATACCGTCCATTAATTATGCATGTGCTGTATCAGCTTATAGTGCCAGTGATTTTAACAAATTAGAAAATATTCAATTGCAAATGGCAAAATCAATTCTTAAAGCACCAAGAAATACCCCTTCTCTGGCTTTACTGGGTGATCTTGGTTGGGATACAATTGAAAATATTCAGAATGAAAGAAAAATTAAATATTTTGATAGACGGTTTAATTTGGAGGCACACCGTTGGCCTAAATTATTATTAAATGCACTATTCACGGTTTACAATAGTGATAATCTTAAATGGAGATGGCTGAAATCTATTCATAGCCTTCTTATTAATAGTGGATTTGACTACATTTTCTCAAGTGATATTCCTCATGATGTTTCATGGTTTAAGTCATTTAGGCAAACTGATCAACCAATGAATGTAGTTGATTGGTTTAATAAAACATGCGAAAAAGTATCACTCTCTGATTACGTTAAATTTTTAAAAATGCCTGAATTAGAAAATTACCTTCTAACTAAAACAGACTTTTATGGTGCCCAACTTAAGTTTAAGGCACGTTCTAACTCACTTCAACTTGAGATTAAAGTAAAGTGGGATAATAATAATGCTGGTACATGTCTATTGTGTAACAATGGTGTAGAGGACTTGCGACATTTCCTGTTTAAACTTATGTAATAAACTTGATGACTTGCAACTAACTGAGCACCAAACTCTAGTAATCAGGTCTTCTTGAATAATAATGATGTTTTATTTATTCTTATGTTAGGTAGAAATTGCACTGAGTTTGTACCTAATCTCCCAAATAATTCAATTAACATGGTCCATAAGCTTTTTGATGATTTTTGCAAATCATATCTTAAAAAGGCATGGGCCAAAAGATTAGAGATTAAGTCTAGTTTAACATAATTTTATTTTCATTGCTTTTATGTTTTGCTTTGGTGATTTTTTTTTTCATTGTATTGTTTGGCAATTTTGATTACTGTGTGTATTTATTAGTTTAGTTTTGGATGCACCATTATTGTAATGGGTGCTGCTGTTGTAAAAGCGTTTTCTAAATAAATAAATAAACAAAAACAAAGTCGACTTAGGTAAGTGTAGCTGTAATATGTTTACTACCAAAACCCCTCAGTGGCAAGTTGTGTGTATATTATATACATATTATATGTATATAAAAATATATATTTGTATATATATTTTTG